AATTTTTTTTTGTAACCTTGGCCAGATCTGTGCCTTGCCACAATTGTGTCTCTGAGCTCTTCAGGCAGTTCCTTTGACCTCATGATTCTCATTTGCTCTGACATGCAGTGTGAGCTGTAGGGTCTTATATAGACAGGTGTGTGGCTTTTCCTAATCACGTCCAATCAGTATAATCAAACACAGCTGGACTCAAATGAAGGTGTAGAACCATCTCTGGGATGATCAGAAGAAATGGACAGCACCTAAGTTAAATATATGAGTGTCACAGCAAAGGGGCTGAATACTTATGACCATGTGATATTTCAGTTTTTCTTTTTTAATAAATCTGCAAAAATGTCAAAAATTCTGTGTTTTTCTGTCAATATGGGGTGCTGTGTGTACATTGAGGAAAAAAATGAACTTAAATGATTTTAGCATATGGCTGCAATATAACAAAGAGTGAAAAATTTAAGGGGGTCTGAATACTTTCCGTACCCACTGTACATATGCTGTTTTACACCTCAATTTGAATCAATTAAAATGTAATCTCTGAACAGGTGATGCATGACAGTACGGAGGAATTTGAACTTTATTTGATGGCCTTTCAGCATAAGATGTTTATATGATGATGTTAAATGCCCCATAATATAACTCCAGGGAGTCATCTTGAGGAATGCAATAAGTCTGATTCAGTCTCACCCCATGCTGTTGACAGTGAACACTGAAGTAGCAGATCAGCAGTATGACCCAGTCTGCCTCAAAACACAGCCATCTCCCTCTCTGTGCCGGTCCAAGCTTTTGTCAGCATGGTAATAGAACAAGCTCTTAAATGGGATTGTAAATAGTGCCTTGACCCCCCAAGGGCACTTGAAACTACTTGCCATATCACGTTTATTAGCTTATTAAATTGCAAAATGATTCTCTGGCTGAGGCCTAATTTCAGAGTGAGCCAGTGAGCTCACCCACTCAACCTTTAATCTAACAGCTGTATCCCTGCTCGGTCACTCTGCCGCCCTCAAAAACATAATGGTGTTTTAATCAAGAGGCCGCTGGAGGAGGAATTAAATGCACACAGTGGTAGGTTTTTTAATAGAAATCAACGTGAGAGAAGCAAAACAGGCACTAATTAAAAATACATTAACTGGTTATCATGCGTTGACATATTTCACTTGATCTTTTTTCCTAATCAGCAGTAATGAACCAAGTGTTCTCCGTCCACTGGGTATTACGCGTTATGTTTCAGTGAGCAGTAAAATTAGCTGAGGGCCCTAAAGCTACATTGAACTGATGAAGCTTTGCTAGGTTTGATTAAGGGTCTTGTACTGTACTTAATAGAATGCTGTCTCCTATTTAGATTCTTCTGCATATTAGAAATGTGACTAACCCCCAATTAGTCACTGCTAGGAATATTCTCCCATACCTATCTACTGTTGAACAGAGAATTACAACACTCCGCTGCACTCACAACTGCTGTAATCATGGTATGGATGCCTACATTCAAATCTAAAAATATTTTTGACTGCAC